GAAACGGAGCGGGGCACCTTTTGCACCGCTTAACCCGCCCGGTAGCGGGTTTTGTAGAAGCCTGTTGGGGGTCCCAAAAACTCTGTTCCAGGCGTGTGGGGGCGGTGTTTTACGTCGGTGGGTCTCTGTTTGAGAACTGAAGAACGAGACGAAGGATGTATACAGACATGTTAGCCCAATAAACCAGACACCGTCGGTCAAAGGCTTATGACTCTTCTTGAGATGGAAAGGCCCGCAACCAGGCGCCATCATTCCACTGGGTCCTGGGAAGTTGGGATATACCCTGATCCTTGGACCTTCTCGTGTCACAGGGGTTTGGTTGATTCACCTGCCCTAAGAATCCTGGCCCCTGGCCCTGGAAAGGCTTTGGTTGCGGTCCGAACCCGTGTTCCGGGTGTTGGAGGACGCCTTCCGATGAGGTTCGGGTCATGTCGGGTCTTTAAGCATGAGGCGGTCTCCCCGAATTGGTTGAAGGAAACTTCTGCAGGAAGGCCCTAGTTTTGGACGTTTTGGGGGTGAAGACTAAGGGATACTAAGGGTTTCCGACAGATTCCCTTAAACCAAGTTATTGATCGTCCAAGCACCTGGTGAAGCGACACAAAGCGACCAAGGCTTTGGTGCTTCGTCCCTCGGCTCTTCACGGGGAGCCGTGGTGACTCTCCGATGACCCGGAAAACCACGGTGGTTCAACGACGTTTCAGTACACCAGGACTGGTCCCAGTTACCACTAACGGCCTGGTAACCAGTGGTTCCAAAGACTGAATCATATAATTAGTGGTAACTGGGATCCACTGGGTCATGCTTCAATATTGGTTTGTCCAAGTGGTTCTTGAGGGATGGATGGATGCCGGATCACGTTTTCCTGTAATTAAACACAGGATAGCAGTTCATGGCAGATATGGCAGATTCTGTTGATGCAGTGACCTTATGGCAGGACTTCCGTTTTTTGCGACACTGTATTGCATGCGTAGGTCTCTCACGGTTCTCTCAATTTGGCGCAAGATGTTTTAATACAGTCTATAGTACATTGATGTACATTGAGGACTACATGCACTGATGTATTTCACGCCAGAAGTCCCCCAGACGACCGCCTTCAAGACCCAAGTGGTTTGATCCAAGATGATCCAACTCATTTGGATTGGGTCTCCATCTCGGGATCGAAAGAACCAGGAACATGGTCCGGCCTGATGAACACATCACATGGAAGTGGAAAAAGGTCCTGCAAAGGAAGACTACTTTCCTATACAGATTTTTTTCAAACAGGTCCTGTACAAGTCTTCCACTTCCGTGGAACGTGACTCCAATTTGTAACAGTCGTTCGATCAACCAAAAAATTGCCAGAGACTTTTGGGTTCCTTTCCTTTGTTTCAACAACATTGAAACAAAGCATGGCGGCGGCAGAGTTTTTGTCTTGACCCCATGTCTTGAGACCTTGGGTTAAGCATTCATGGGCTCGAAATTGGCCTTTCTCCAGAACTTTTCACCCCTGGGGGAGGTTCTTTAGGCTCTGGACTTCCGGCCACACGGGTCGTTATAGGGGCTGGTTGGAACATCCCACCCCATTGAGAGAGCTGAGACATGAGCCCAATTAAATAGACATTTATTTTGCATTGCACTTTTTTGACACTTCTTTTGTGGAGGGTCATTCTGCTTTTGAAGATATAAGCTAAACATTGGCCATATATGATTTTCTGATGTTATATGATAACAACATAATCCCATATGTACTATGATGTTATCTAGTCATAGAGTCCTTTTGCATCGGGTCCCATGCTTGGTCGGGCTCTCCTCGCATGGGAAGGATCCGACAGATTCGGAGCCGAGGCAGGGAGGATATCAAGCGGAAAGGTCGCCTCACTGGGCCTGCTCCTTGGGGCCGTTGTCATTTGGCTCGTCAGTGAGTCTCCCAACATGAAGCTTTATGTATGTTTATGATCAACCAAAGGTGATGGAAGTTTATGTTGATTCTTGCAGTTGGTGATGTTGATGCCAGGGCTGATCACCCTAACGTACCTGCTGCAACTTGTGATGTTCAGCAACCGCGCTCCATTCTGAAAGTTTTGAGGCTAGTTTCAGGTTTGGTCAACTTGGATTGCAGTCAAGTGCTAATGCGCCTAAAGTAGCATGTTCGACTTGGAGTTGGCACTTGGATTTTGAGACTTCGAGTTGAAACTTGGAATCAGTGTCATTGTTTGCATTTCCTTTAGCACCGGTTGCCCACCCAAACCCGGTCCACACATACTTAGGCCATCTTCGTCCACTTAGCAGTGCCAACGACTCTTTTTTTCATGAGTGTGTATATTTTTACTTTAGTCAGCCAGCAGCAACTGGAATTCAACCTTACAGGGTTGGCTGGGCTTCCTACGATGTCCGGGACGGCACTGTGGCGCGCTTTCCAACGGTTTTGTGAAGGGCTAGGTGAAAGGATCAATCGCATGGCAGATCATGGCAGGTCGATATGGGTGCGTGGCTCAAATAGGGAGAGCTCCCAGGCAACTAGTAAAAAGTAACCTCAGCCTTCAGGCAGGCAGATGTCATATTTCACCACCGCCGTCAAAAGCCAGCGTGGCTTAGTGATAACAATATAGAACTTAGAAGCTAGAGGTCTTGGGCTCGAGTCCTTTTATGAGCACTTTTCTCGCCCAAGCCCACAAAAGACGACGTTGAAGAGCTTGAGCCAAAATGACAACAGTGATGTGGTGGTTCAATTTGAAGAAACAAGGCAAGGATAAGCCAGCAGGGCTGCAGGGGGGTTGATTATTGTAGGTGGTTTATAATTGCAGGGGGTAGGAGTCTAAAGGGGTGCCCTTTGAAGACATTTTTTCGTATTTGTTGGATAGGGCTTGCGTAAGGAACCCTAAAGCTTTTGGCTAGCCCAAGTTTTTGGAAATCTGATGGGCAAAGGTAAAAAACAGATACCACAAAAAAAAGAAGAAACACAAGAAAAAGAAGAAGATAGCGCAAGGCAAGGAAAAATCAGCAGGGCTGCAGGGGGTTGATTATTGTAGGTTGGTTTATAATTGCAGGGGGTCGGAGTCTAAAGGGGTACCCTTTGAAAGCAATTTTTTTTTTGTATTTGTTTGATAGGGCTTGCATAAGGAAACCAAAAGTTCTTGGCTAGCCAAAGGTTTTGGAAATCTGATGGGCAAAGATAAAAAAGATGTCACAAAACAACAATTAAAAAAAAGATTGGTTTACAACTGCATGGTAGGTTGGTTTTTGTTTGCAGGGGGGAAGAGAGAACACATTCTGAAAACAGTTTGGGGTCTGGACTGGATTTTGGCGCAATTAAAGGTAGTATTGCAAAATCCTGGCAGGCCAAAAAACTGCTTATTATTCACACATGGTTCATTATTGGGAGGTTAGCAGTAAATTATAGATTATATACTGACCTTGTCACGAAAGCTAGCATGCTAGCTGAGTTCTTCTTTGCTTTAGCAATGTTGTGGTGGGAGGGGCTGCGTGCCTTAAAGATTGATATATCAAGCTAACCCCCCCCCCCCCCCCGCGGTTCAACTCCCAGCTGCGCCGTGTAGGGGGTTGGTTGAACGTGTGAACGTGGTTGGTTGGGTGTAACGGTGGCTTGGTGTAAAGGGTGCTGCTGCTGCCGCTCTGCTGCTTGCTGTTGCTGTTTGCTGCTGCCGCTGGTTGCCGCTTTTGTAGCTGCTGCTTTGCTACTTGTTGCGGCTTGGTGCTGCTGCTGCTGTTGCTGACGACGCCGCTGGTACTGCTGCTTCCTGCTTGCTGCTTCCTGCTGCTGCTTGCTGCTTGCTGCCGGTGGTGCTGCTGCTGCTGCTGCTGCTGCGGCTTGATGCTGCGCTGCTGCTGCGTGGTGCTGCTGGCTGGCTGCTGGTTGGTGGTTGCTACTGGCTGCTGGCTGCAGGCGGCTGCTGCTGCTGCTGCTGCTGCTGCTGGCTGCTGCTTGCTGCATAGGACTTGTACTTCACCGTTACAAGTTGTTTACCCCTATTTCTAACCTAATGCATGCATAAGCGGGTGGTAAATTTACCCCCCAGGCTTGCTATAACCATACACCGGCTATTTCCTCAAGACGCTCTATTCTTGATACCTTTTACCAGTGCTTATCCTACACTACGGACGCCCTAGTGTATGCACAGTCCTTGT